GCCTGTTGAGAATAAACATAGCACTATGATAGGACCAAGAACTTGGCTATTGTTAAGTAATTACAATTGCAGAAAATACAGAGGTATGATTACCATGGACCTTTCTAAAGCAGATGAGTACATCGACTTGTATGTAACTATTTGCAAGTATGTCGTATAAAATTAGCCTATTAAATGTAGTGAAACATTATAGACCTAAATATATGGTCCATAAAAATTTCAACTGAAATTTGAAATTTGCGATTTTGACTTTTCTGCATTGTTGTATTTACTGTTCAATATTGGGCTCATATCTTATACAGTTCTCTGTATCCTAAAGTTTCTGAAGGATAATTTATCGCATGGTAGGAGTTGCAGCTGGAGCTTCTTTGGCAGATACATTTTATTAAGTTGGATGGAATTGCATTTATATTCAAAGGCACAGTGCTTGAACATTTATATGAAAATTCACACACTGATAAAGCATTCCACAGCAGACTTGGCAGCTAAAGAAGGCTGTACAACACTGGTTTTCAATCTTTTAAAACCCAGCCCCCTTTTTAATAACATGAAAATCCCCTGCATTTTATTTATTTTCAAATTAAATATTATAGCAAATATAAACCAAATAGTGATGATGAGAATATATTTTTCTACATACTCTCCCTTGAACATTCTGGTACAACCCTCCTGTAGTGAAGGCGCCTAATCAGTTACTCAGCTGGGAAGGGTGGCTTTAGAATCTCCATCTTAAAAGACTGAAAAGAAAAAAAAAAATAGAGCCCGTGCTGTTCTGAAAGTGATTTGCCATTTTGAGCACCAGTTGAGAATAGATTGCTTCATTCCGAGGGTCTACTATTAGTGTGCAAAGTCCTGTCCCAGGCACTGCCTGTGAAACAGAAGTGTCTGAGCTGTTAACTGATAGTTTAATAAAGAAATTAGACCTACATATGTGACCATAATAAAAATAAGACACATGTAACTGTAATAAAAAGGCATACTTAACTATAATAAAATAGGATGTACAAAAGCATAGTTTGGGCAACCTGGGTGGCTCAGTGGTTTAGCACCTGCCTTCAGCCCAGGGTATGATTCTAGAGACCCAGGATCGAGTCCCACGTTGGGCTCCCTGCATGGAGCCTGCTTCTCCCTTTGCCTATATCTCTGCCTCTTTCTCTTTCTGTGTCTCTTATGAATAAATAAAATACTAAAAAAAAGCATAGTTTGATAGTGTTAAAAGGAAATATCTGGGGATTCAGGGCAAGGAAAGACAATATCTAGCCTCTTCACCTTTTTGGTAGGGGGAAGGGAGAGAGAATTTAGGAAAGTCTTCACAGAGCAGGTGGCCTTTGAGCTCAGAAAGTGGAGTTGTTGGGTAGGTGTACAATTTTAAGTAGAAGAGTAAGGAGGATTAAATCTGGAAGCATAAATGGGCCTAGCATTCATCAGCCTTTGGATTTCAGGCTGAGAATTTTGTCAGTTAGCCAGGTTCGCTCATGATTGTGTTAGTGGTTGGTGCAGAGATGGTGGATCTCCTGAGTTTCTCTGAGAATGCCTTTCGTGCTTTACTGACAGAACAAACATGCTAACAGGAAATTGAAGTGCCAAATGGATGAAGAGATTGCATGTGAGCACAGAGATGTTATCAGTCCACTTAATGATTCAGAAATGTATATGCATTCAACTGAAAGAGTTCTAGATGAGATGGTCAAACCCATCATCAGAGACTGTGAGTTGGGGAGAGCTAAAGCCATGCCTGATTAATAACAAAGATGGGCAAAGACATTTTGTCTGTTGGCAAAGGGACGATGTAGTGCTCAAACTACATGCTAGTGAGTCTGTCTGATGCTGAGCCCATGTTGGATTTTAAAAATCATTGGTAATTGTTGAGTTATGAATACTGAGAAAAATAAACAGCAGTCCTTAGAAGAACATTAGGTACTGTGTAGAACAGGCTGAGGCAGATCTCTTCACTTTAATTTACTCTCTTTTCTCTGTTGGAGGAGAGGTAATATTATAATTATTTCAGCAACATGATTGACAAGAGTTTCTCCTCTTAGAACATTCTCGTGGATGACGTGGGAACATGTAACTACAGGGCTCAGTGGGTAGAGGGTTGCATGTGTGAGTGTGCTCATGGAATGCTGAGGCGCATTTGAGGACCATTGTGGAGAGACTTCTTCCTGGTGCCAGGTGCTGCTGCTTTGTCCCCTGACCTGTTTTGCTGACATTGGTATCAGTGAAATGAATGATAATAAGGAAGGCATACTTACCTCTTCGGAGATGGTATGAAAACAGAATGGAATGCAAATATTTTGTATGAAAAATTAAGAATGGGCCCAAAAAGTTTTAAATAGGATAGAACAATGGACCTAGACCAAAAAGATGAAGTTCCAGAGGTAGGTTTTTATGGTCCTACCCATGGATGCTAAAAACCAATTATAGATTTTTAGGATTGAATCCCTCTAGATTAGCAGTGACTCCTATAGTACCTCGGCATTTCAATTGATAAAGAATTAACAGGATGATTTGTGTGGCCATGGAAAGGACACTCTTAGATCATGTAGTTAGAGGTGTAACTAAGTGAATGGAGGTCTTGCTATCACAGGACCCTGGATGATGCACCTAAAGCTGGAGTATTGTGTGCACCTGTGAGTAGCCTGTTTAGGAGAGACTTCAGGTTCCCCAGGGCATGGATTTAGATGGTGGGAGTTTTCTAAACATACTCCAACAGTTGGGAGAATATGAGTTCTTTAACAAGGAAAATAGGTTTGGAGGAGAAAGGGAGTATAGTAGCTCTTTACAGATACCTGAAGGGTTGTTTCTGGTGGAAGAAGGATTGTAATGCACTGCTCTAGAGAGGCAAATCTCCACTCTGGGCTAGTTTGGTGGTAGCCCTGCATGGAGGGCTGTTGGGTTGCCAAGAAAGTTGATGGATCTCCTGACACAGGGGTTTTCACTCTAGCAGTAGGGGCAATATTTGGAAGACTATTAAGCATCATAGAGACTACGAGCCTATAAAATCTTTAAACTCCTTTTGGACCTAGAAGTTAATTAATGGATTTTTTCCAAGATAAAATACCATTTACTTCTAAGGTCATCATTCTTATTTTTTTATAGTAACAGATGTGAAGCACATGAAAATTGCATGCCTCACTCTGGGAAAATGCACCTCACGTGGGTGCAGTTAGCACAGTTCATTAACATATTTATATGTATTGTTTGATAATACAGTCCTGTATTATGAGTCTGAATTTGTATGATCATCTCGGGAGAAGAGTCCACATTCTGTGCAGATGGAAGAGTATAAAGGCCCCAAAGCAGGGAAGGAGGTGACCAATAAATGTGAAGGATGAGGACAGTGTGCCTGCAGTCTGGAGAGTAAGAGGATAAGTAGTAGGAGATGAGGCTGGAAAGGTGTGTAGGGGCTGGATCATGCAGGCCCTGAAGGCTGGGATATGATTTCCTCCAACTTCTTATTTTGAAAATGTTCAAAACTATAGTTCTAGGTGTTGTAGAGTGGGTCACCTAAATTTGCCAATTATTATCCTTTGGTATAGTTCAGTTTTCTCTTTCTCTCTCATACACACACACACACACACACACACACACACACTTCTCTTTGTTGAACCATTGGAGAATAAGTTAGCATATGCCATGTCTAAAGCATGTCATGTTTTAAAGCACATATCTTCCAAGAGCAAAGAATATCTTGGATATATTCACAATACTAAGAAAGTTAACATGGATAAAATACCTTTACCTAATATACAATCTGTATTAAATCCTTAATTGTTCCAATAATGTCCTTTGTTAACTTTTTTTTTTGAGAGAGAGAGAGAGACAAAGGGAGAGGAAGAGAGAAAATCTTAAGCAGATTTTACGTGGAACTTGAGGCAGGGCTTGATCTCACCATGCCTGAGATCATGACCTGAGCCAAAATCAAGAATTCTATGCTTAACTGACTGAGCCACCCAGGTGCCACTAGCTTTTTTTTTTTTTTTTTCAATCGAAGATCCAGTCAAGGAGCATGCATTGTATACAGATTATACACTGGCATTTTGGGTGTATAGGCCAGTTATTTTGTAAAATGTCCATCGGTTTAAATTTGCTTGATTACTTCCTCATGATTAAATTCAGGTTGAACATTTATAGCAAAAATACTACATAGGTGATGTAAGCACTGAGAACTACGTAACATCAGGAGCACATGGTATCAGCTTCTGTTATTGGTTTTAAGATTGATCACTTGGTTAAGGTGATATCTACCATATTTCTTCATAGTAAAAGTAAAAATTTTCCTTTTATAATAAAGTAATCTTGGGGTGCCTGGCTGGTTCAGTTGGTTGAGCATCCAGCTCTTGATTTCGGCTCAGGTCATGATCTCAGGGTTGTGAGATTGAGCCCTGCATCAGGCTGCATGCTGAACATGGAGCCTGCTCAAGATTCTCTTTCTCCCTCTCCCTCTACCTGTCCCCCACTCCCAGCTCATGTGCACCTGCTTTCTCTCTCTCTCTCTCTCTGAAAAATAATAAATAATCTGGAGAATGGTACCGTAGGATTCTGTGAATATCCTGTTCCCCAACAAACATTCACCTGATGTTTTTCACAGCCATTGGTAGCAAGATAATTATTACTTTGGTGATTACAAAATGGTGACTTTTTTTTCTAACTGTATGATTTTTCTTATGTTAGTTGGTATTATTCTGTGAAGAAGAACTTTTCCTTCTCCTCCAGCCTTTTATATCAGTATAAGGATTGAACCTGTGGATTTTTTAAATTTGAATTTAAGATTTAATATGTTTTATAATCCATTTCTAACATTAATCATTTTATGTTTTAATTTCTCCATAGTTGGCCAGCAGGCACCCTATCAGAAAGGTTTCGGAGAAATTTATGGACTGAGTGAATGAAATAATAATATGAAAATGATGAATAAATTGTATTTTCCATGCTTTTTTCTCCTGAGAACCTCTATTTGTCAGTGCCAATAACATGATTTTATTTTTATTTTTCTCTAGGTCTTATGGACTAATTGGCTCTCATTCAGCAGGAACCTAACAGATAAGTCATCCTGCTGTATGTCAAGACAATGCTTGGTTTTAAGACTGCTCTGAAAATGATTAAAGTGGTATTGCAACGTGACATTGTCAGGGGGCAACAAGCAGCTTGAGAATTTCCCATTAATCAAATAGCCTTGAAGGAAGCTTCTCTCCATTAGGTAGGACTGCATGGCCAGCAGCCCCCACTGAAGGGTGAAAATGAGTGTCCCAGTGGCTCCGAAGAAATCATGTTACGCTCAGTTGCGGGACAACAGAAATGGAGTGAAAAATAATAATGAGAGTATCCTAAGTCTGGGGGATACAAATGCCAATCAAATCATGTTGGAGGTCAGTTCCTCTCATGATGAGTCCGAGACACGTGACCTGACAGATGAAATTGGAAATGCAAATTCAAGCGAGCCAGAGAATAGTACCCATTTCAATAAGGAATTTCACCAATTTCAGGGCTTTGGGAAAGGATCGCAGGCTGGCCCTATCAGTCTGAAAGATTTTAAGTTTTCCCTGACCGTCCATGGAGGACTACATGACGAGCACACAACGGAGAGAGGCACAGATATCCTCCAGACCCCTCGCAGTGTTCAGGGACCAGGTCTGTCAACTTGGAGGAATGTTATGGCTGAGGCCAGTCCAGAGGTTTTGACTAAAAGGGATGCTGAACTTCCCCGGCATGCTCCTAAGGATAAGTTGGCAAAGACCCTTGACAATGAGGAATTGAGAAGACATTCTTTGGAAAGAGCGAGCAGCTCTGCCGTTGTAGCAGATGTTCCCATGAAGGAGCACGGTGGGAGCCTTGGTGGGAGCCTGACCTGGCAGCGTCTGCAGCCTGCGCCACTGGACTCCCCTGAAGCCCTGCGTCCTGAGCCCAGTGGCAGGGAGGGGCCGCAGAAGATCTTGACAGCCCCCTCTCGAGGAGCAGCTTCTCCTCCAGCTGACAGTACCTCAGAAGGAAAGAGCGTGTGTCATCCTAAACCATCTACCTCAGCAACCAAGGAGACCACCCCTGTAGAGACCCAGAGGGAGAGGGCACAGGGCCCAGACTTGAGCAATGAGAGCACATCACATTCTGCCCATCCAGAGCCTGGTCTGGATTCAGCCTCAGCACTGAAGGGGGTCCTGAGGAAGCCAGAAGCACAATTAGGTCAGGGGAAGGGAGAGCTCAAGCCAGAGCTGAAATTTGTCCAAGCCAGGGCTGTGCAGGAGTTCAAGGCAATCCAGGCCGAGTGTCTGGGGTGCCCAAAGGAAGGTGGCATGTTACCCCTCGAAAGAAAGGATCCAGGTGGGAAAGCACAGCAGGAGGCTGCCACCGGGGCACGTAGTCTGTCACACAGCAGTGTGCACCCCATTGGTGTGGGAAGAGGCAGGAGTGAGCAGGACAAGAGAGCAGGCCACCTGGGTGAGGAGGATTCTCTCCAGACCACGCCCACTCAAGGCCCTGCTTCCTTGGCAGCTGCTGATAAGCAGCCCTCTGGCAGCATTTCAGCAAGCACAGCTAGGAAGTTGGATGAAGTGGCGTCTGGCAGCATTTTGTCAGGTGATGGGCATGTATCTTTTATTCCCTATGACCTACCTGACAGCAGGCCCTCAGATGTCAGTGAGGAGAGAGCACTGGACAGTGGGAACGTAGACAGTGCTGCGGCTTGTGCTTCAGACCCTTCTGTTGGAGAGAACAGCCCGGGGGTCCCTGAACCCCTTGGCCCTCAAAGCAGCAGCCCAGAAGTAGGTGACCACAAAGAGAGCACGACATCTGTCGCGGAAGATAGGAACATTCTAGAAAAGGCAACTGAGACTGAAAGCACCCTGGGGAGAGCAGGGGCTCTTCTCAGTGGCCCGGCACCCCTCCATCCAGAGACAACTGTGAATGTGATCCACCAGCCTCCACCACCTAGTGGCGGTGTTCAGGACCTAGGCGCATTGGGTGCAGATGCCAGGTCATCCTCAGCCACTGCACCCCCCACTGACAGTGCATGGTTGTTGAACACCCCCCCGAAAGTGCCTGACAAGAGCACCTGCCCCAGTGGGATCCCTGAGCCTGTCTTCCTGCATCCTGAGGACACCCCTTCCTCACAGGAGGGAGTGGAGAACCACCAGGTTGAAAAAGTAGAAGAGAGGACAGAACCCAAGCCCATCATTCTGCCCAAGCCCAAGCATGTGAGGCCCAAGATCATCACCTACATCCGGAGGAGTCCTCAGGCCCTCAGCCAAGTGGACACTTCACTGCTTCCAGTGGGGCTTCCTTATGCTCCACCCACATGTGCCATGCCTCTTCCCAAAGAGGAGAGGGCAGCAAGTGGTGAGCTGAAGCCGCCTGCCAGTCTCTATGAGAAATACAAGCCGGACTTGCAAAAGCCACGAGTGTTCAGTTCTGGGTTGATGGTGTCTGGGATCAAGCCCCCAGGGCACCATTTCAGTCAGATGAGTGAAAAGTTTTTACAGGAGGTAAGAGATTGTCATTGTGATATGATCTTTAAGTTAAACACTGTAAAGTTTGTAGATGTTTTCTTTGGGAACTGTGAACACAATGTCCTCCCTTAGCAAATTGCAGATTTTGATGAATACACTGGCACAGAAATGGATGTTCTTAACTAGAGGGAGGAGCTTGTAGACAAATGGACATTTTTGATGAGGAGAGTGTGATGATCGTGGTAAGGTACAGCTGACATCTAAGGAGACTCATTTAAATTCCACTCACTATAATACATGTGAGGTTAATTAAGTATGCACTTAAATTGGCTTCCATGTTTAAGTGAGCATAAGTCTTATATAAACCAGATCAGTGGGGGGAGGAGGGTAAGTCTAAAATAAATATATTGTTCAAAGTGGTCTGACTTCATGCTCTCAGGGGGAATATTTTCTTTATGGAAGGATCTCATATTCATACATGGGAAAAACACAGTGGGTAGCAAATAATGTGTTAGGCATGGGCTCTTTGTTTTGAGTCAAAATAATAATTACAACTGACATTTAGTTGAGCACCTACTATGCTTCAAGCCCACACAACATTTCATCTTTATCTATCTTCACTAGTCCTTGTAGTGATTTTCTGGAAGTCGAGATTATAGTTTTTATCATTGTCTAGATGAAGAAACAGCTTTGGAGGGATTTATGTAACTCAGCTAAAGCCACAGAACAAGGATAGTGTGGAGATGTTCTTCTATGCCCTCCCAATTTTGTGACTGGGCTGTCCTTTACATTTCTGGGTGCTGTGGTAAGTTGTCCTCCCAGAGCTCAGAAAGTAGGTTTGTCTCCCAAAGCAACCTCCTCATGGCAGCTAGGCAAGTGTTCAGTTAGAAGGAAAGCCAGGTCAGATCACTCCTCTCCCTAACATCCTTCAGGTCAGCCAGGCCACTCAGAACACAAGCTTAAGCATGTAGGATGGCTCAGCTTTTAGAATGGACTCAGTCTGTCTCTCTAACCTCCCCAACCCCCTCTCCTTCCTTGGCTCACCTCCTCTCCCTCTTCTGCCTCAGGATCTTTGCACTTCCTTGTGTTTAGAATTTTCTTCTTCCAGATATCTCAGTGGCTGTCACCTTTATTTTCTATTTCTGTTCAAGTGTCACTTTATTGGAGAGACACCTCACCTTCTCTGAGACCCCTTTCCTTGTTGATTTTTTTCTTAGTGCTTATCTCCATCTGGTGTATATACTTTTTCTGTTTTTGGTGCATCAACTAGAATGTAAAATCCATGAGAACAGGGAATTTTTTTCTGGTTTTGTTTTTGTTTTGTTGTTCTCTGCTGGGTCCCCAGAGTTTAGAACAGTGTTTGACATAAATACGTGGTCAGTAAAATGTTGAATGACAGCAGAATTAAGAACTCATGTATGTTGGCTCCAAACAAAAGGCAACTGAAGCTTCTGAGAGATAGAAAACCTAAGTCCAAAGTTGGACCTTAGGTTGATTGAATATACTGACATATTTACAGAGTGTACTGATTACAGTAGAAGTTGTCAGCTCTTACACAGCAAAAGAGGTGAATCTATTCTAAGCAGCAGATCTTGCCCAAGGCTAGCACTCACTTGCCCCAGCAGCTGATCATCTGTTTTGCCCTGGGGCAGTCTGTGAGCTCTACATCACACAGCTCCCTCGCTGTCTCTGACTCTGGGCTTGCTGGAGAGGCTTCCCACCTCCCATCTCTGCAGAGAGAACACCAACTAGAGAGTCTGGGGACTCAGTCTTTTTGGCAGGGGCTCATTTCGCCATACAGGGCTGCATGCTGTCCTGTTTTATGTAGGCTTCTCACATAAGGGCCTACAGCAAAAGGATGTTCTGGCCAAAGGACATTAAGGGTCTGGCTGTGTAGCAGTGGCATGTTACACAGTGGACAGGTTGCCATTCTGGTCTTATACATCAGTCTCTGAGCTTGGTTAATGAGTTTTTCTCAAATTTCTAAAACCTTAACCATGACCTCCAAGGCTAAGGATTAGGCTCTGACTTTAGGCTCTTTGCTAAGGCTGGGGTGCTCCAGTGTGAATGCTTGTGTGGTGTTATTAGTTCTGAGAGTTTTGGAGAGGCCCCATTGGTGGGGACGACAGTGCCCCTGAGCACCAGCCACTCTGGGGACTGTTTCCTGCACAATCGAAGTGTCCAAGGCCTAGGCCCTGTCTACAGGCTACCAGACTGAGCAGAGAAGCCCCATGGGTCCTGGGCTAATTCCTGCCATAATCCTCTTTTAATCGATAGGCTGGCCCTTGGCCTTTGCTCCTAGAGCTGCTACTGGATGTAAGCCTGTGAGTCCCCTTCCTGTGTTCAGGCTTGATGCAGGGAGGTTCCAATGCCCTTCCCCTGCCAGTGTGCCCTGCCTGGTTGGATGGATTCAGCCAGTCTCCAGGGAAATAGCACATTTCTGACTAGTTGCAACAGAAGTATTTTTCCATTGTAGAAGTCCTATATCTTTTTAATAATGGAAAAGTCTTAACAGTACAAACCCAAACCAGCTTCAGATTCTTTCATCATTATTGATAGATTCCTGCTGGTTAGCATTAGTAGAAAAGAGTAAGTCAGAGTAAGGGCTCTTCTGAGAGAGGGCATCCCTTCTCTGTTGACAGGAACAATACAGGCATTTAGAGCTTCCTGAAGTGTCTTTGAAGATCACCTTGGACTTACCCATGCCAGGATGATAAAATGTGCTTACTTCTTTAGACCGTTTTCTGCTTGCACCTATCCTGAGGACTTTGGGGCATTTCTTCCTACAGATGCCTTGGGGAATCCCTTTTCATTTTTGGTATAAGGAGGTGGGAAGAAGGGAGCAGGGGTGAGAAGTCAAGGATGAGGTAGTGTACTTGCAACATGATCAGGGCTGGTCTCCCTTCCTACTCCCAAAATACAGGTACATATGTATGTATTATGTGAGTATCTATCCAGACTTGAAGGAACTGGTCTATGCAGTTGTGGAGGCTGGAAAGTCCAAAGTATGCAGAGTGGGCCAGCAGGCTGGAGACCTAGGGAAGAGGTGACACTGCAGTTCAAGTCCAAAGGCCACCTGCTGGCAGATTTCTCTCTTAAAGGGGGCAGGGGGGTCAGTCTTTTTCTATTAAGGCATTCAACTGATTGGGTGAGGCCCACCCACATGATGAAGAATAATCTGCTTTATTCAAGGTTTACTGATTTAAATGTTGATTTCATCTTTAAAATATAAACATCTAGAATAATCTTTAACCAAATATCTGGATCCTGTGCCCTAACCAGGTTGTCCAGATTAACCATCACAAGTCCACTCTCAGTAGCTATCTATAAAAGTGGCTTCTCAATGAAGCCTCCACATTTACCCTGTGTCTGCCCAGCCCAACCCACTGAAAGCAGGACAGGGAAAATGTGAAGGGGGCAATCTTGTAAGAATTTAATTTGTTTGTGTACCTTGATTAATTCTAGGAGTTTGAAATCACAAGGATTTTTAGTTTGTTTTCAAAATTATTTCTCTAAAAATGTTCCATTAGAGAAGGAGGGGAAAAAAAACATTTGGAGTTAAGTGCTATGTGTTCATAACTGTGCAAGGCCACCTGTTGTATTTTGTCAATAAAGAGAGAAATGAGTGTGAAGTTTTTTTTGTAGATTCCCTTGTCTTATCAAAAATAAACAAATTAGGCATACTTTTCACCTTCTTAAAGAATTTGTTACATCTTATCAGAGACCAACCACCCAGCAAAGTGACAGGCTCTGAAGTGACTGAAATCATTAAGGTCACTTCTGAGCGACAGCATCATGAGTTTTTGATTCTCCAGTTTCAAAGAACTGAGTAATTACCAAAATCAGCATATTGCAATCCTGAAAATCTAACAGATGTAGGACAGAAATCATTTCTTTGTGAGAGCACATGCTAGAAGCAACAAGCAGTGGCACCAGCATTTAAGAAACTACAATGAAAAAATAGAGGAACATAAATATAATAAAAAAGCCAAAGGTCGATAGTAAAGAGGGTAAGCAAGGAATGCTAAAAATTCTATCAGAGAGCAGAAATAGAATGTTTCACAAAATGTAATTTGCTATGGCCTGAATTCGGTCTATCCATTAAAGCAAGTATGCATATGTTATAATGCGATTATGATAAAGCTTTAAAGGCCTAATCTTTTGTTTCAATAATGTCAGTTTAAGGAGAACTTTTGTATCTGTTTCAACATTAAAAGAGTATCAAATTAAGAGTTTTTCTCTTCAACAGCTTGGATCAAAGCCATGTAGCCCCTCTTACAGAATATTGTTAAATCCTTGTGATTCCTGAATAGATAAATGTTTGACACATAAAATGTATTGTGATTTAGAGCAGAGTTAACAGATGTATCTTTTCGTAGATAGCCTCAAGCACTATTTTTTTAAACTTGGAGGAAATAAAGATTATTATCTTATTTTTTTCATTTTTAATATGAGGAAATACTGATAATATGAACAGGCTTTGTCAGCATAGAATTACAAATATAAAAGGTATATTGGTTGTGTCCTAGCCCAAACTGTTAACTTTAGGAAAAGTAATGGGATTATTATGTTATTAACTTTAAGTAAGAATAAAAACATGAGTCCTTTAGTGAATAAATATTTATTGACTTTATGTTCTAGGCACCATTCTAGGTGCTAGGCATTTAGCAGTCAGTAAGATTCTGCCCTAGGATTTCCACTGTAGTGAAACTTGTCAAACATTCATGGACACCCCACTTACTGGGAAAGACAGATGAGGTGATTCACAGTCTCTGGTTTTAATGATGTAAACAGATTGTAGAGGCCTGAAAACATATTTTTCCATCAACTGGTCTATTTTTCCAAACAAGCTTTTCTCTGCATTAGCAGTGCATATTTTATTTCCCAAGTAGCCCAGTAAAGACTTAACATAAATTGGTAAAGTTCAACTGCTTCAGAGTAGGTTGCCATAAAAATCATGCCTTTTCTCATTAGGAATAATGAAACTTTCATAAGTCTTTGAACATTTGCTAAACTCTTTCCTCACTTTATTGAGATTATGTATTTATAGATGGCTACTTGAGCAGATTTCAGTGATTTTGTAACAATCAAATTTAAAAATCTTGTATAGTACGTTTTTTCCCCAGACCTGAGAGGTCATCCAGTTGTGTTGTTAACTTAGAGATGAAGACCCTGGAGCCCAGAGAAGATAAGTACTCCATGATGGAGCAACTCCATGGTGCCAGTGTGGCCATTGCTGGAGCCCTGCTCTCCTAACCACATTCCATACTCATCTCACGATGTAGGCTTCTCTGATTAAGCTTCTGGTCATTTATCATAGGTTACAGAACGCCCCGGAAAAGAAGAATTTTGTTCTCCTTCCTATACTCATTATGAAGTTCCTCCAACTTTCTATCGATCGGCCATGCTCCTGAAGCCCCAGTTGGGATTGGGTGCAATGTCCCGTTTGCCATCTGCAAAGAGCAGGATCCTGATTGCGAGTCAAAGGTCCTCAGCAGGTGCCATCCACCCACCAGGACCCATCACAGCAGCTGCCAGCCTCTACAGTTCTGATTCTGCAGGTAAGTGATCCAGCAGTTACTACCTTTTCCTGCTGCACTTTTATTTTTTTATTTTTTAAAATATTTTATTTATTTATTCATGAGAGAAAGAGAGAGAGAGAGAGAGAGAGGCAGAGACACAGGCAGAGGGAGAAGCAAGCTCCATTCAGGGAGCCCGGACGTGGGACTCGATCCCGGGTCTCCAGTATCATGCCCTGGGCTAAAGGTGGCGCTAAACCGCTGAGTCACCTGGGCTGCCCTCCTGCTGCACTTTTAAATAGTAATTATCTAAAATGGCAGTAACTGGCTGATATAAGAATGCCTCTCACTCTCGAAAGTCTTTTTCTGCTATTCCATCTGCCTGTTGATACAGGTATTCATCAAGGCTCCTCCGTCTGCATCAGTCATCCTCCACATTATCTCTGAACGGGTGGCCTTTGCAACCACCTCCTCACTTCTTGTGGTTTCTCCTTTCTCTGTTTGTTACAGCCTGTAGATCAGAGGCCAGAGGAGTTTTTCTGTAAGGGGTCAGATAGTAAATATTTTAGGCTTTGTGGGCCGTTATGGTCTGTGTTGTAACTATGTAGCGTGCAAGCAGCCGCAGACAGCACATCAGTGAATGAGTGTGGCTGTGTTCCAAAACAGCTTAATTCACAAAAATAGAGAGGGGGCTGGATTTGGCCTGTGGGTTGTAGTTTGCCAAAGAGATTTTCCTACAGCCCAGCACTGACCATGATCACAAAGCTGGGCCACTCCATAATGGCTTACAGATAGGCTACACCACCTCTCCCAGCCCTGTCCTCCTGCTCCACCATGGCTGGCCAGTGTCACCCCCTAAAGTTCACTGCACTGCCTTTTTTGCTGTCTCCATTCTTCTGCTCATGTGGTTTCCTCTAGTCTTTATGTATTATTTTACTATAGAAATAATACACTCCAGTATAAAGCATTTTGAATATAGAAAAATATGGAAAAGGAAGTAATACTGTTTAACATATTTTTAGCACCCAGCCAGAATTACTAATATGGAGTTGTTGTTGTTGTTTTTTTTCCTGGTGTGATCTTTTCTGTGCATTTTCCAATAGTTACAATGATACTGAATGTGAATTTCATTTTTTTCTACTAATAGCATACTATAGGCATTTCCTAGGTCATCTGTGTTTCAGAAATATTATGGCAGCATAATATTCTGTTTTGTTCATTTATTTGACAAATTTGGGATACTTATTATGTGCCAGAAGTTGTAAATTAAGGACTGCAGTGGTGAAGAAACCAGAGAGCTCCTGCCTTTACGCATCTTACAGTCAAATGTATGAAGTGAACAAAGAAAGAAAAAAATAAATACATAATTATAAATATGAAAGCAGGGAATATATTGTTTTAAGAAATTGCAGCCAGAAGAATTATATGGGTGAGATGGAGGTGCTACTGGGACAGCCTCTTGGAGGAAGTGGGAAGGACAGGAGAAGGTGGGGAATCGTGTCAAAATTGATTTAGTCATTGCCCTACTGGCAGTTGAATTCTGCTTATTCCATACTATTTCAATAATGTGATTTGAATCTTATGTGTATACTTATTTGTCTTCTTTCCTATTATTTTCTTAAGCTAGATCATTTGAAGTGTAATGACTGGATAAAAGTATATCTAAACATTTTTTTAAGGCCAAGGATTTTTTCTATAAAACTTGTAACAATTATTTTCATACCAATGTCTCTTGAAAGTGTTTCTTCTTGCCATACCTTTGCCAGTATTATTACCACTCCTCCTCTTCCTATTATTATTATTATTATTATTATTGCATTTCTTTTATTATTAGTAGAAGGGAACTTCTTAAAACCTATTTTTAATTATAATATTTTATGATCTTTCATTTACTGAGTTATTTATTGATGAATAATAATTTTTAACTCATTTTTAATAGTTTTTTTTTATAAGGACTTCCATAAAAATCAAATTATTTTTAAAAAAACTGCAGTGGAAGGTGACTCCCTGACTATGGAGATGCTACCTAGAGAAGAGGAGAAGCTGGTTTAGAAGAGGAGATTAGGAGCTAATTCAGGACACGTTACAGCTGAAATGCCTTTAGCCATCCGATAGGATAAAGCATTGCATCTAGGACACCACAGTTGAGAGGACAGGGCTGGCTGGAGATCTGAAAGTATTAGTTGTCAGCAGATGGCCTGTCTTTTTTTTTTTTTTTTAGATGGCCAGTCTTTAAAGCTATGATACTCTCCTCCACTAGGCTGCCACTCTTTCCAGCATGATTTCGCCTCCACATTCACCAGTAACTTACAAATTTGATGCAGACTTGAATTATGAGCTTTGAAATAGCAATGATGTAACAAATGTTGGTAGTTTTACTTTATGTGTAAAACTTGGAAAAACTTAAAATTACTAAAAAACTTAGTTGACATTTATTTAACAATAGTCAAGTTTTTGAGTAATGAAAAGTCTTTAAGAATATACTACTTGCATAAAAGTGCCATTTTGCAGTATGGGCAGGCGGATTGAGCTCCTTCTGAGGATGGCTTATTTGTGTTCACACATTTGTGATGAGGGTGACACTTTTCAGAGTTCAGCTTAGCACCCAGAAATACACATATAAGGGACTCCTCCACCCCTGCTTCTTCAAGACTCCAACCCTTTTTCTAGGGTTCCTGGGTATCTTAATTTAGAGAGATGTGTGTCTACATGGATAATCATTAGGGACCTAGCAAAACCTTGTAATGATGATATGAGTCACTCCTACAGGACACTGAAAATGTGAAATTCTTTCTTAGTGCTGTTGGAAGGATCACCAGGCCTAGACTCTGAGACAGACAATGAGAAGTTCTTACTCCAGAGACTGGGGAGCTTTGGTGGGATGACTGTGCTCTCACTAGCTCTTGGGCCCTGGAGCCAGGCCAGTGGCTCTTTGCTTGGCCTGCTTGAATTATTCCAGGTAGCAGGCCCTTTCTCTTCTTGAGCAACTTTGCTTGAGTCCCCCAGAGTACCAGGACCTGCACTAGCAATATACCTGACTCATTTATTTCTTTTCTTCAGAAATCCTTCCATTTTTCTTCATGGGAAGAAAGAGATATTCCCTTTCTCCTCAAACACTATCATTTTTAAAAAAAAATTCATGAAGGTCCATAAAATGCAGAGCCAAAGTCATTATATGCCCCCCCCCCCCCGCAAAAAAAAAACAACTATTAATAGTGTCTCTTAATTTGAGAACTAGGAGGGCTTACCTTTCAGACTCTCCAAAGAAATGAAGGGAAATATCTACATACCATCCTTCTGGAGTAAAAAGGACAAAGAAAATCCAGACAGGTAGGATTCTGAACAGCAGTCTGAATGCTCACCTACTCTTATACCCTCCTGTTGACCACCTCTGTAATGGAGTCTCTTATTTTGTTCCTTCACTGCAAGACATATTCCAGCCAGGGGGAATGTGGTTCACTCAAGACTAGAATTCACAGAGCTATGGAGAAAGAGAAAAGTTAATTCCTTTGTTCTGTAATCCCTGATTGCACATTTACTGTGTTAGTCTAAATCACAAAAGTAAGTGTGGACAGATATAGCTACATTAAAATGGACTTCTTTTTGATTTGAAGCACTCAATTAAATCAAGAAGAAAAACATCAAGATTCCAAAAGATTGATCATGAAAGGACATAAGCAATGAATTTAGGGGGGCCTGAGTAGCTCAGTGGGTTAAGTGGCCAACTCTTGGTTTTGGCTCAGATCATGATCTCAGGGTCCTGAGAATGGAGCCCTGCATCAGGCTTCATGCTCGCTAAGGGGACTGCTTCAGGATTTTCTCTCCCTGTGCTCCTCCTCTGGCTTGTGTGCATGTGTGCACACTTTCTCTCTCTCTCTAAAATAAACAAATCAATCTTAAACAAAAACAAAATGGGCATCTAGATGGCTCAGTTGATTAAGCATCTGCCTTTGGCTTAAGTCATGATCTCGGGCCCTGGAATTGAGTCCTGCATCAGGCTCCTTGCTCATCGGGGAGTCTACTTGTCCCACTCCCTCTGTCCTTCCCCCGACTTGTGCCTTCTCTCTCTCTGTCAAGTAAATAAAAATATTTTTTTGAAAAAAATCACAATGAGTTTAAAAATAAGAATATAGAACTGAGAAATATACACAAGTCTGAAGATCCCAAATACATAGTTCTGAAATTCAAAACCTATGAGAACAAAAGGTTTTCATTAATTCGGTGGCACTACCTGACCATAACCAGGGTGACTATTTGTTTGTTCATTCATATTGCTTTGTGTGAATATCTATGCATCTTGCTGCAGAAATCTTAAAGGAGTTAAGGGATGCTGCTGGAGGGTTATACAACACCTCTTCTGCCTACCTTGAGTTAGGTATGATTGTTGTTTTGTGTTAGAAGAGAAGAGAGTGAAACAATTTATGTCATGCAGCTTGTAAACTGTGGAGCAGAGATTTGACTCAAGACTGTTTCCATATTCATGTTCTTAGCCCCCACACTAGACTATAAACTTGAACTGCCTTTTAAATCTTACTACGCTGCAGTATTTTTATTTTTTAAAACAAGGATAAGACCAATGTTTGTGGATTTTTTGGCAAACCATGGTCCTTGGGCTGCAAAACTGTTTTGGTATATAAATTTTAATGGAACACAGCCACACTCCTTTGCTCTCCTTTTGCTTATGGCTGCTTTCAGAGTTGAGTCATTGTAATGGAGATAAGATGTTGCCCAGAAGCCTAAAATATTTACTGTGTGACCCTTTAAGAAAAAAGTTTGTTGATACCTGCCTTAGTATAATGCCAGTTATACCATTTAGGCTAAAGACTTTACAACAATCAGTCTGCAAGGTTGGGTGTCATGAGACTAAAATATAAGCAGCTTTACAGCTACCAACCATTAAAACCAGGAGAGAAACCATTAAAACAGGGAGCCTGTGTTCACATGCACAACCTCAGAGAACTAGACAGGAAGAACTCACCTTATGAAAATATGAGGGCAAGTAAAAGCCCCACCTGCCTCCATACTTCCTCCTCTCCTTATCA